CTATCTATCTATCTATCTATCTATCTATCTATCTATCTATCTATCTATCTATCTAAATACACACACAGAGATCTGCAATTACAGATCTAAACCATTGCAGTTTGTATCTTCTGTATCTCTCTCCATTTAAAACAGTAAGAACTGGGAAAACAGAGAAATACAAATAATGGAAAAATATGAGTTACAAATAACTTAGAAAAAGGAAGTGGCTGCAGACGAACTACTGCTTCCTCTAACCTGCTCTGGGTGAGCACATGTGCACTCAAACACACTTTTTGAAGTGCATGATAGAGTGAAAAAGAGTCTGTCAAAACTGCAAATAGACAGTCAAATAGATTTGGAGCTGGAAGGAAACCATCATCAGGCAAGCTTGTTCTGACTGAATCTCTGCCAGGGGAGTTGCAAATAATGAGGGCACTACTGAAAATGCCCGCTTCTGAGACCCCATCAAGTGACAATCTTGTATAGATGGGACATGGAGGGACTTGACCATCTTTGATCTGGCTGGACAGACAGATGAATACAGGGGAAAGCGGTCCATAAGAAAACCAGATCCAGAGCCATATAGGTCCTTAAAGGACCTTGAATCACACTTGGAAGGCAACTGGCAACCTATGTAGTTTCCAAAGCAGAGGAACCACCTGAATACATCAGGACACCTCCATCACTGCTTGGGCTACTGTGTTCTATACCAGCTGTAGCTTTCAAAGAGTTGGACAGCCTTAAGTCATCTTTACCCACAGTGAAGTAGTGTTTCCCCCTCTTAAACTTCCAGCATCCACGAGCAGCCTTAAGGTGGGTAAAATCTGTTAGGCTTTGTCATGCAGTGCCTTGGAGGGAAGTCAGGGGATTGGCAGGGATGAGAAACAAATGTAGGAGAGAGGCCGGCAGAGGGGACAGCAAATGTTATGCTGGTATAGCTTTCTTCTGAGTTGAAGCTGAATGGAGAGCAGCCTGTGAAAGATTTGAACAGGAAAAATATGACTAGAGAACTAGTGTCAGGGAAGAGATGGAAGCCAAAATAGTGGGCTGCTGTAGCTTTCTCTGGGGAACTTCCAGAAAAAAAAGTCAAATAAGTACTGTTTTTCCTTTTGGCAAACAGAGCTGCCTTGGCACAGCTGCTAAAAGAAATACAAAGATTAAAACACGAAGGCAGCAATAATGTAATATACTTGCACACACATATTCCTGCCAGACTCATTTGGAATTTACCAGCAATTGCGCTGTGAAAAAAAAATCCTTGTGTAAGAACAGCACAAGTTGGCCATGTGCCTCCTCTTTTCCCATTCCTGGCCAGGGCCAGCTTAACCTAGATGGGGAATCAAGGTCCAATCTGCACAAAGTTATTTCTTGTTTTTCTCTCTCAATATATATGGCTCATTCTTGTCCCAAACAGTAGTCTCTTCAACCTGCTCTCTTCACACAGGTGGCCAGTGGCGGCTTCTCTTCATTTATTGGTTAATTCCCCATGCCATCCTAAATCTCCTAGGAGCACCATCTATAGGTTAACATTTCAGAATGCACTGTAGGATTGTGCAGAAAAGTTCTTACTATAGGCCAAAGGTAGATAGAGCTGTACTGCTTGATCTCTACAAGATTTGCAATAGGTTAGCAAAGATTTTTCACCCTACCACAACAAAATGACACATGCCTGCTTTACAATTATACTGATGAAATCGAGGAATATTATATGCCAAACTTCTGAAAGCTTGCGAGAAGGCCGTGCTCACCACTCTCCAATTTGCGCACGTGCCTTCTCCAAAGCATACGCTGCCTTCTCATGATGCTTTGAAAGGCTTCCGGAGCCTTCCAAAAGCTCATGGGAAGGCTGCACCCACGCCTCTCCACATTACACACTACCTTCTCATGATGCTTCAGAAGGCTTCTGAAGGAGGGGGTTAGGCAAGCAGGGAGTGATCCATCCATGGCAGCAGACAGATGTTAATGTCCTCCACTGTCAGATCACATCTCAACCGCCCCGAGACAAAAACCAGACCTAACGGGTAGCCTCTAGTATGGGTCAGGCCACTGAGGACTTGGGACAGATCCATGATTGCTACGGAAGCCACAAACTCCTGAGCCGCCACAGATTCAATGTCACCAGATGGCAAGTTGAAATCCCCAAGCACCAATAGCCTTGGGCAATCTATTGCCAACCAGCAAAGCAATCCAGCAGCTCAGGCAGGGATGCCACTGGGCATCAGGGTGGGCAGTACACCAGCATCAATCCCAACTGTTTCCTTAAGCCCAGAGTGCCTCACATCAACCACTGTAGAAGAATCAAGATGGAATTTGATTCAGTAATGGCAAAATTAACAGCATATATTTATAACAGAAGAATGGCTTTCATATATATTACATATTATGCAGTAAGGCAAATGTAAAAATTAAGAATATGGTTTGTAAGAGGAAAAAGAATTGTCCAAAGAACTGAAATCAGAAATACATGAAAGTTTTAAATGTTTATAAATATTGTATATCAGTCAGAATAAAAGAAGGGGAAGTTAGAAACTAAATTTTTACCTCCAATATTTTTAGTAGTTTTCTTCTTCTTTCTTCTTTTCTTTTTTTGTATTTTTAAACAACAAAATAGTGGAGACTTTGGCAGTCAGCCTAGAGATTAAAACAGATCTTTAAAATCCTTTTGATTATTGTAAAAAACAACATATTTTCATACGTTCATTGACAATATACTGAGCAGTAACTGTACAACTTCAGTAACTTCTTTGTCCACTTACTGATATTTTATCTCTGCATCATTTTTTAAAAAATGTTTTCTTCTTTCTTTTCTCTCTAAAAGAAAATGATTAATTAAAAACATTAATCTGAATAATTATTTTTTTTAAAGTGGTGGATCAGGGGTGCCCCTAAGATTTTCTGGAAAACATTAATTTTCTTGCATTCCACTTTCTTTTCCGGTTCAGCTAAGGTCGTATAGTGAGGGAACATCAAGAACAGTGTAGCTCAAAAGAGAAAAGGAGCATTTGTTTGGCATTTGGGATTTCTCTCAAGCTCTCAGCTTGGGCCTCTTCCCGCTGCTCATTTATAATGCCATTTGGTCCTCCTTGAGTTGGCAGAAAACTGTACTGGTATGGACTCTGTTCTCCATATTGGAATGGAGGGAAAAATATTACCTTACTTCAATACCAGTAAGTTAAGGATGATTTAAACCAGTCGGTCTTGTGGGCTGGGGACTAAATGAAAATAAGGTCCTGTGGACATGACCCCAAAAAAGGACATGTTTCTGCAATGATAAAGGCCAAGTGGGAATATAGTCCTTGTCTAAGCCTAGGCTAGGGTCACAGCTACAGCCTGGGAAGTCAAAAAACCTTTCAGAAGGCAGTTGCAAGGCAAAAAAAAAAAAAAAAGGAGTCATGCTCATATCAAAGGAAGATTCATATTTCCCTCTTGGGTGCTTTCAGACTGGAGGTCAAGAGTTTCTAGGAAGGCAGAGGATGGAGTAGGCAAACCTGGTTCCAGATGGAAAAATTCGTTTGGAGCAGACCAGCTGAGCCTGTAAGGTAGAAAGCTAGAGTGACAAATCTCTCCCAGAAACCATCCAGGCCTTCACACCCTGGCCTTGCTACTTCCAGATTTTTTTTGTGGGGGGAGTGGGGACTTTCAAGGTCCTGGTACCACCATCTCATTTGTAAAGGTACCTCACCTGGCATCCTCTTACTGGCAATTAAAAGGTATCTGTGTGCCCATGCATGTGTATACATGTACACACACATGCACAAAGAAAACCGTTTCAATAGTATCTCCTCCTAATTGTAAAGGGATATGGCTGGAGTATCCAGCCCTTCCTTTGAGATAGACCAGTGTCAGCAATACCAGCCTTATCAGGGTTAACAAGATGAACAAAATCAAAGTCTGATAAAAGAAAAAGAAATAAATTCAGCACAAACCTTGCATAACTTTAAATATTAAACGCATATACAGGTAGTCCTCAGTTAACAACAGTAATTGGGACCAGAATTTCCATCATTAAGCAATGCAGTTGTAAAGTGCAATGTCACGTGACCGCATTGCTTAGCAACAGCAATCCTGGAAGTCCCTGTTGCCGTAGTTAAGCGAGAATCATGGGTCATTAAGCGATGACCTTCTTGTGACTTCCTGCCCGCTTCCAACAAGCAAAGGCAATGAGGAAGCCAACAGGAAGTCGCAAGGAGATCCTGGGCGGGGGTGGCTGCTGCTGGGTGCAGGAGGGCACAAAAGTGGCTGCTGCAGCCTGGCACAAAGCTGCAGTTGCCCCAGTCTAGCAGTGCAGTGCAGTGCAAAGCCCCAGCAGGGTAGCACAAAGCCCCGTCCAGCCCAGCAGTGCAGCATGGCACAAAGCCCCAGCTGCCCCAGCCCAGCAGCACAGCACAAAACTCCAGCTGCCCCATGCTCAGTAGCCAGCACAAAGACCGAGCCACCCCAGCCCAGCACCATGGCACATATCCCCAGCTGCAGCTGCCCTTGCCACCCTGCACTCCACCACACCTAGCTGACTTTCACTGACTTCTTGCTTCCACTGCTGAAGAGACCCGAGGTTTGATGCAAGATGGACATAAAACTCAAATTCATAATTTACAGAGTGCAATAGAGAAAATTAGAACTGCACAGAAAAACAAATAAGTAAACTACCATAGAATCTTGGCTACAAATACTTACCTACTCCTATAAAATAATTGTATGTAAACAGATATTCACTCTGCTTCGAATTACCTGGAGTTTCCCCAGATTCCTGGAAATTCTAAACGTTAATCAGAAACTGGGGAGAATGCTTTTAGATATCTGCTCTTCCCAGCACCAGTTCACAGCTTCTGCCTGAGTTCTGTGTCAAGTTTTGAAAGGACCAAAGCTTTTCTCTGTATCCTACAGAGGTAGGGGCTGAGATACAGTAATTTCACACTGTGTGCATGTGGCAAAGTGCTCTTTCCTGTGGATGCATGGTATCTGGGATAAGGAAATGTGTGTCCTGTGTGTGAGCTCATACTTTGTGTCAGCTACACTCACAGCAATGTCATCTGGATCCCTGGAAAAATTGCCCTGAGGCAGAGGAGTTCCCTGATAGAAGCATGGTTTATTATTCTTATCATTTTTGTCCCCTTCCAGCAACAAGGTTCCTGTATAGTTTATGCCTACGTTGACAATAGACATGAAAAGGTGCATCCAGAACAGGAGTGCAAACTGCAAGGTTTGTAACTGCTGCTTCCTTGATTCAGTATTGCTTGGTGTATCACAATGACAAATTCATATTGTGTGTATTCAGTTCTTTAGGGTCTTCTCCTGTAGATGTGAAGGCCCTGATAAAGTTGCTGAGCTACAGTTCATAGAATCCTCCTCCTCTGACCATATTTCCAAAAGATGAAGGGAATGGGGAGAACCTATTAGGCACAGCCAACATGTCCAAAGTAGAGGGGATGATAGGACTTGCAGTTCAACATTTGGAGGAGCAAAGATTGGCCATCTGAAAATAAAAATGATCACAGAGTATCAGTCAGGTTAGATATGGCTTCCAGAATTATTTATAGTGGAATGGAATAAAACATTCCTTTTATACACACAAATCATGCAACCATAGATAACCATACAGTGGGACCACCACTAACATCAAACTCCAAATTCCTACAGAACAATTTGCACCAATGCATTTTTCACATGAACAAAATGTGTTCATTATTCTATTACAAAAAATAACATTGATGCAGGCTGCTATTCTCGGACTCTTTTGTTTTTAGAATAAACTAATATTAACCTATATTTTTATCTACAGGTAGTCCTCGCTTAATAACAATAGGTACCAGAAAATTTATTAAGCGGGGCGGTCGTTAAGGGAGGCATCATGTGACCGCACCCAATTTTACAACCTTTTTTGCAGCGGTCATTAAGTGAATCATGTGGTCATTAAGCGAATCACACAATTCCCCATTGATTTTGCTTTCTGGAAGCTGGCTGGGAAGGTCGCAAATGGTGATTACATGACCCTGGGATGCTGCAACCATCACAAGTGCAAGCTGGTTGCCAAGTGCCTGGATCGCAATTATGTGACCATGGGGGCAAAGCAATGGTCATAACTTTGGGCACTGGTTGTAATTTTTTTTAGTGCCATCATAACTTTGGAATGTTGCTAAATGAACAGTATTTAAGTGAGGACTACCTGTATATATTTTTTACAGTTGAGGAAAAGGTAGCATCTCTTCACATGTGTCCTGGTTGCACCATCCCGATTGCAACAGACAGACAAGAATTGGAGAAGCCTCTAGAAGCTGCTGTGGAATCATTTAACGCAAAAAGCAAGAGTGACTTTTATTTCAAAGTTGTAAAAGTAACAAATGCAACAACACAGGTTTGAATACTGCCTCTACCACTGTATTGCAACTTAGATAGGAAAATCTGGTTAGAAGTAGGCAATCGCTTTTTGAGCTTGAATCCTTTCCCAATTCAACTGGCCTTGTACAAAGTTGACACTGTAGTGGAAGACCAGTGATTTCTATGTCTGAACGTCCCCTAGCTAGGTGGGCTGGAGTATCTAGGGATAAAGCTTGGAGGGCACTAGACTGAAAAAGGCTACCAGGCTGCAGAAACTCTGTCCTGGGGGATGATGACTCGGGCAAAGCACATATTTGCGGACAGAAGATCTCAACTTAAGTGCCTGACATCTTCAGTAAGGACTGGGAAAGATGTGCCTCAAACCTTGGAGAATTGTATTGGTAAAGGTCAACATTACTGGGCTTGATGCATCAGTGGTTTGACTTGATACATGGCAGCTTCTTATATGCCTGTAAGGCAGCAGTAGACCATCTTTCCATGACCCTTTCACTTGCTTGTTTTTATTAGAATCAGGGAGAAGGAATGGGTCTCTGGGGCCACTGAATTCAGCACAAGCTAACCTGACAGCAAGCTAAGGTTTTTGTTCTTCATAGTTCATGCTACTCAGCATCCAGTCTAAAAGTTAATCATTTTTCTTCTTGAATTTCAGATTGTGTCTGGAATAATGTATCGATTTTACTTCAGCCTTCAGAAAACAAATTGTTCCAAGGCTGACGTTGAGAAGCCAAATGAATATTGTACTGCTGTGGAAGACGGTGTAAGATACTGGGATTAGATCAAGGGGACATTTTACTTAAGAGAACAAAAGTTCATTTTAAAGCAGATTCTTGCAACAAAATGTTGGTGGGAAATGTTGCAATTCCACATGGATGCATATAAAGCCTTGAGATAATCTTTCTGATAGGACAATCCTATGTATGTCTATTCAAACTCTAAACCCTAAACGCAAGTTAACAAAATGTTTGTGCCCAAACAAACCATATGATTAATAGAATGGTCTGGTTCACCCAACATGCTAGGACAATGGTTGGGTTCCCACAACATTCCAAACCTTAAACTACCCAGACTCATTTTCGTTTACTAAAATCCCAAGTTTGTTACTAGGAAATCTTAGTAAGAAGATAGCATTGGGATATAATTAGGTAAAGTTGAGGTTTGCTCCATGGACACGTTTTCCCCAACTTGCTGCTGGGTCAGCTGGAAACCCCAAGATCCTAACACATTTGCACATCCCCTCGTTGGGAATGGTTTTCTACACACACACACACACACATCCAGAGACGCACTGATGTAGGAGTAATAAGTCAGGATTTTATTGCTTTAATTTATACTCCGTGCCTCAACTTTTTGAATTAATTCCTCTTCCCCAAAGAAATAAATCATAGACAAAAGTCACAGAACTGTTCAGAAAATAAATAAATAATTGTGTCAGCTTTTGGAAAAGTGAACAATTTTCCAAAACAGCACCCAAAATTTAATTATTCTGTATCATATTTTGTTTTTATGCCAATGTTTGACAAGAGATGAGCATGTCCCCTTCTGTTTTGTTTGGGTGACAGGAACTGTTGTTCTGCCATGGCTCAGTTTATGTGAAACCGTGGAAGTCATTAATGATACCTCAAGTGACCTGCACAGACCAAAAACCAAAGGTATTCATATTTGTCTCCACTGGGGCCTAGCATACTTCAGCAGGGGCAGCTGCTGTGTATTTGGACCACAGTTCCTATATTTCTAGGGATAGAGGTTGCAGACCAATACATATGGAGGTCGCCAAGCTAAGGAAAGATGTTTCAAAAATGTTGTTAAGTTTAGTACCAGTTCAAGGTGATTTGCAGTTCCTTCAAACAGCACATGTTCTACCTCACCTATTTTGAAAAGGTTTGGCAATCTTCATGGAAGTCCCTGGAAACTCTATTTGAAAAGCATCTTCACTAAGGTGCATTAGATGCTGCACAAAAATGGACCAATAACCTCACATATTCCTAACAGCAGGCCCAGAGTCTGCAAAGGATATAAGGAAGAAAATGAAGAAAATCCTGTCAGAAGAAGCAGAGGGAAAAGGGGGAATGGCAAGAAGTTTAACAGGGTTTGTCTGTGGCATAGGGAAGCAGGAACCCCAGATCCTTTGCTGTTTGAACCCAATAAGATGTTCTTCTTTGAAAACCTTTTTTAAAAAGTAGTACTCCTAAAAAGTAGTACTTTTTAAAAAGTAGCCTGACTCATGTTCTTTGCAATAACATGGACATTCTTTGTTATTCCATTGTTCCAAGAGGTGTTTTTCACTGTCCATCTAGTTGACAGTTGGGATTTCCTGGGTATTAACAAGGTCCAACCTGGCTTCACTTTTTCAAGATTTATTTACGGATTTAAAGAATTTATAAGGCCACTCATGTGACTTTGGGTGGCTAACAAGACAGAAAACAGAAAACCAAACAGAAAACCATTCATTTAACGACAGTACAAAGTTACAACAGCCTTGGAAAAAGTGCTTTACTACCTGTACTTGCACTTACGACCGTCGCAAACTGTTGCACCACACCTGTGGTCACATGATTGCGATTTGCAACATTTTTTATGATGGTCATTAAGCAAATCACCGTGGGTGTTAAGCAAATCCAGGTTCCCCAATGGATGTTTTTTTGCCAGAATTCACTTAACAACTGCAGTGATTCACTTAATGACCATCGTAAAAAGGTTGCAAATCACAATCATGTGTCCGCAGGGGTGGTGCGACACTTTGCAATGGTCATAAGTGCAAGTACAGGTCATAAAGCACTTTTTCCAAGGCCATTATAACTTTGAACTGTCGTTAAATGAATGGTCGTTAAGCGAGGACTACCTGTAGTTTTCAGAGACACTGTGGACACTCTCTTCTTGGCAGCATTAAAGCACAACTCAACTATTACTCTTTAAACCAGGGAATGCCAGACTACATCCTTTAAAAAACCCTGCCCACTTTGCTTTATCTTATCTCACAGCAAGTCTTATTGCCCTGAAAAGCAAAAAGTGCTGCTCTGGTAATAAAAAAAGTTGCCCACCTAGTGCTCAGAAGGATTTTTTAGGTGGAATGGGAGGGTGGCAGTTAACTTAACTTAACTTCAAGCAACAAAATATTGAGTCAGACAAAAAAATTATTCCAGTTATACAGTCATTGTGACATCCCTCCCAAGAATTCTGGGAACTGACAAGATTTGGAATCCCATTCTCATAAAACCATAATTCAGTGAATCCTTGTCTAAGGAGGGAGACTGAGTTTATAGTGTGGTTAGGCCCTCAAAACTAGAAAGGTGCTTTGGAAGACAGCTGTGCTGATAGAGCTAAGAGAACTGGCTGATATATAATTACAGTACGTTAGTTCTTTGTTAAAGTGGAAATGTGGGATAAAATATGTTAAATGCATTTAAATAAATACATTGTTTTGAGAATTCCTCATAACTAAATTACATTTCAGTTCAGTTTTCGGGCACCTCCAGGTTTCACCCCTTTCCGAGGGGCATCCAGAACCTCTACTCAAATCAGAACAAGAGCTGTGGAAGAATTCTATCCTGATCCTAGAGGACCCCATACTCATGAAAACAGGCGGGGCCGTGGCAACGCCCATGGACATAGACGGGGCCACGGACATGGGCATAAAAAGCCAACAGAGAGTTCTTCTGAAGAAGCTAAAGCTCTACCACCTGTTCAAACTCCAAGTCAACTGCCTACTTCAAAACCTTTTCTGAAGCAGGAGGTTACTAGTAGAAGTCCACATAAAGAAAGTGTTGGGTTTTCTGATGTCTCACCAACACACGGCAACCCTATGGATTTCCTCCCTTTCTTAGATCACCTGCCAGATCTTCCAGAACCACCAAAATGTCCTGGATCACCATGGAAACCTAAAAGAGATCCAGAGCCTCAAGATAACCTCTTTAAAGATTTTGATCTTTTGGATGCGCTCAAGAATTAAAAAAAAAAAAGTGAGTTATTTCACCAGAATGCTCTACCACTCGAAATGATGACGTTCTTGGGATTTCCAACTGCATATAAACATAATACTTAAATACAGTTGCAGCCAAGTTAGGCCTGCAGCATCAGCCTGCCTAGCTTCTTAATGTCTTTGCAAGGTACAGTAGTTGGCAAACAGTCAAACTAGAAATTTAATTCAGTCAGCTCAGCCAGTAAGCAACATGCACAACTGCCTTCTGCAGCAAACTTGCAGAACCAGTGTGGCCTGCATTCAGCCCCGGAGAAAAAAATATTCCCTGGAAGAGAAAGGGGCCTTTGCATGTCTAGAGAGCCTCAAATGGGTAAATTATGTTTCTCCGCAGTCAGTTTGGGTGGAATTTTAAATGTGAGCTACTGTCCTATACCTGATTGCAATGATTATTTTGTGACAAATTTGTAGTAACTGCATATTCAATTCATCAGTACAATTGTATTAATTAGTCCACTCTTTCTACTACTGGCATGCCGTACATTTGATTGCACACCCTTCCTTGGCTATCACAAATAAAAGA